CTCCGCGATGCCGCCGAAGCCCCCGAGGTCCCGCAGCGCGGTGTCCGAGAGGTCCAGCTCGCAGAAGCCGCCGACCGAACCCAGCCGTGTCTTCGGTGGCGTCTTGTGGCAGCGGTTCGCCTGTCGGGCGTCAATGATGAGCCTGATCCACGCGGGGTCCTTCTTCTTGACGAAAAAGATGCCGACCTTCGCCTTGAGCTTCTTGCGGAAGCCGATGAGGTTGGCGTCCCTGAGGCGGCCCACGAGCTCAAAGAGGCTGTCGTGGTCCCGCGCCAGCTTCGGGTCCCAATACGGCCTGGGAAAGTCCTGGGCCACCTGAGCTTCCAGTATCTGCTCTGCATCGCGCTCCACGCAATGCTTATAGTGCTTGATGAGGCCCGCCGTCTCGGGCGGCAAGAGCGTCTTTGCGTCCTTCGCCACGGTACCCGAGCGGCAGATCTTGAGCTTCGAGATGTCGTACTCAGCGAGGTTCTTCGGCTCCTGCGAGTACAGGTCCCTGGACGCAAGGAGCTCCGCGAGGGCTCCGTCCTCGTCCAGGTCTCGAGGCGGCGGGCCGTACGCCTTGACGCGCCGAGCGACGTGCTGCAGGACGTCGCATTGCAAGGGCGTCCCCCGCTCACCTCCGAATCGCCGCGTACTTGAGACGCTCGAGAAAGAAGTAGTTGCGGCAGCGAGCTGGTTGAGTGATCTAACCGCTTCACACTCTCGCTGATGCCGATGGAGCTGCTCACGCCGACGCTGCTGAACATATCGAGGAGCGCCAGGAGAAGCCAAGCTCGGAGCTGCCGGCGACGGAAGCGGGAAGATCTCGCCATGTCGCCTCTGGCTGCAGAGTCGCCGCCGAACGCCAGCGCCTCCACGATCAAAACTGTCGGCGGGGACGGACATGCTGAAGAGCCGCCCCAGCCAAAAGGGAACCGACCACTGGGGTCAGTTCCCCGCCTGCTTGTCGTCCCCCTTCGGCCCCCCCTTCTTTGGAGGCTTCTTCGGGGGGGGATCATCGCCACCTTTGCCACTCTTGTAGCGCTTGTCCTCATTGAGCCGCTCCTCCCGAAGAAGACGAGACTGCTTGAGGGTCTGCGCACGCTCTCCCTGCTTCTTGTAGATCCAGCCGCGGAAGCCCGCGCTGGCCGCCGCACCGCTCTCCGTAGTCGGGCCGCCCATGACCAGGTCCAGGCCGGCGTAGTCGGGATGTTTCGCGTTCCTCTCGACCGCCATCTCGATTTGGATCTGCCTGCGCACCAACTGCTCGAAGCACGCCAGGTTGGGTATGTTGAGCTGGTCCACCTGGTGGGCCAGCCGCAGGACCTCGGTGTTGTTGCGGTGCTCGTGAAGCGCCGCCGTACCGTCGCCAACACCACTGTCCTGCCTCCACTCGCTCTCGTACACCACCATCGAGCCAGGCCCGTCGCGTATCGACTCCAGGTACTCCTTGGCCGCCCTAGGCGGCGGGAAAGGCCAGTCGTCGAACGTCTCCTCCGTGAAGAGGTCAACCGCATCCGAGAGGGCCAAGTTCCGCTTCCCCCTCTTCCGATGCAAGCCGAGGATCCTCGAGTCGCCCTCCGAAGACTCTCGCTTCTCCTTCCAGTCGTCGACCTTGTCGTCCCTGACTCGCTCCACGAATCGCTTGGCGCCGAGCCAGTCCACGACGCCGAGGTTCCCGAGACTGACGAACCTCTGTGCGTCCGCCAGCACCTCCTCGGGGACCTCCTTGCCGAAGTGCTCGTCGTCGACCTGGTATACGACCCACTTGTGAACCTCGACGTCGCCGAACTCACCGTCCCCCAAGATCGCTGCCTGCACCCTCGCCTGGCCCCTGAACTCCTCCATCTGGGCGGCCGAGACCGCGTCGTCGTCGAACACGTACGAGGCGGCCGCCACGTTGGCCGGGAAGGCCGCCCTCCTCGAAAGCACCTTGTGCCTCTGGTCGTTGAGATCGTGGATCTGCAGCTGCAAGTCGGGAGTGAGGCACACCCACCGTCCGCCGCTAATGCGATGCAACAGCACACGATGATGCCACACCAGCCCATTCGGATCATCTGGGTAATGAACCAACACCTGCGCACACCGTGTGTCAAGCGTGGGCATCCCTCAGCTGCGCCGGTGTGGTAGGCCCCGCACCGGCAGGCCGCCCCCCAGCTTCGAAAAAGCCGGGCCCCGCCGCCGATGCCGTCGCCGCGCGCGGCCTCGCCGCCTCGGCTGGGCGCCGCCACGGGGCGCCGACGAGCGCGCCCAGCAGGAAGCCCGTGAAGCCCCCAGCCAAGGCGCTGGCGAGCGCGATGCCCGCGCCCGCCCAGAGGAGCGGCCCCAGCCCGCTCAGGCCGGCCGGCTCCGGGCACGAGCAGTCCCCGCACTGCAAGCCGGGGCACGCCGGCAGCACCACGTGCGGGCACTCCAGCGAGGGGCACGCAGGGCACGTGCTCGCCGCCAGGGACGTCCGCAGGTGAAAGGCCGCGGGCAGCAGGTCGCGGGCGAGGCCTAAGAGGTCGGCCCAGGTGAGCATGAACCCCTGATATGACTTGAGCACAGACAGCAACGGGCGAGCCGAACGATAGCAGAGGAAAAAACAATAATATTTCACATATATATATAACTAATTATATACATATATATATGTACATATGTCAATACATACATGCAGGTATACCTGTGCATTTCCTTCCCTCAGCAGACGACAGGCGAACGGCAACGCCGTTGCGACGCGCGCGTGGGAACGCTTATTTCCCACTTCCTCAGCTGGGGGCGCCCTTCCGTGAGGGGTCATCTATTTTTTGGAGCTCGCCAGGAAAAGCTTCCCTCGCCGCAGGGGCGTCGGAGGCTGGGAATTGCAGCGATGGGAGGGGGGGGAACTGGAAAGGGGGGGCGCGTTGGGCAGGGGGGGGGGGCAAGGAGGGGGGGAAGGGAGCGGGGGAACTGCAGGAGGGAGACCTGCGAGAAAAGAGAAGGGCTCATTGTCTTAACTCTTAACCGTACGTTTTCGCAGCACGCTGGCTCAAGGCAGCCGCGTGCGGGCCCCTCTCCGGCCCCGCGGGGTGCTTTCCAAGAGGAAGTTGCCTTATGGCCGTCTGAGTTTGCAGCCGCGAAGTCGGCTGAAAGCGAGCATTGAAGGCCTGATCGGCAGCAGCGTGACCAGCGGGCAACTCGGCGCCCAGCTCATCAATGACTTCGTCTCTGCGTCTGCGAAAGGCGTGTCCGACCTGCAGACCGCGGAGTCCGCTCGGGCCACGCAAAACGCGGCCAGGAAGTTCAGGCGCCAATTCTTGAAGAAGCTCTATCACTGCCAGGTGAGGGGCCGGGGCCCCAAGTCTGAGAGAGAACAACAATGGACTTAGCGATGATGCTGCCTCGCGAGGTTATTCATCGGCTTCTTTGCTTTGGCGATCGGAGTCTGGAGACGTCGAGTCTCGATGGCGTGTCTGTGCGTCACGCGCGAAGAACAAGGGCGGATCAAGACGACTTGGTGGCCCTCGGCGTGTGGCAGGACGGAATCACTTGCTTCTTAGATCGATCGATGAGCGCAGAGATCATCAGCCCGCCGTTGCCTGGGGCTCAGGGGCGCTGAAAACAAGAAAAAAGAAAACGAAAAAGATAAGAGACACAAAAAAACGCAAGTTCGCAGCGTTCCTCGAGGAGCACGTGGGCCCTCACGCGTTTGATGATGTCCTTGCTGCGGTGCAATGGAGTTTGGTTCGTTTGGCTTCGAAGGCTGGCCGGCGGCGCGACGCGACGGCTCTCCCTGCGGCGCGCAGGACGTCTGAAGGCTGGCCGGCGGCGCGACGCGACGGCTCTCCCTGCGGCGCGCAGGACGTCTGGAGGATGCGCCAGCAGGTGGCCGAGACAACTTTACCCAACGGCGGAGTGCTGTGCCATATCGAAGGGGACTGGAAGATGATGGAGGAGGTGCTTAAGCCACCTGGTTGGCAGGATGACGAGGTCTGCTGCCTGTGCAACATCGAAGAAGGACGAGGCCCCAGGAAAGAAAACCATAAAAAGGGAACGGCATGGAAAAAATCCCTTTGGGGAGGGGGGGCGCGTCGCGGCCTCGCGGCCCCCGCCAGAGGGAAAGGAAGAGGGCGAGTAGGAGAAGGTGGCGGTGGATGAGGAAGAGGGCGGCCGCGGGGAGGGAGGAGGAGGGAGGAGGAATAGGAGGAGACGGATCGGAGTTCAGCGGGGGTTTTTCTGGTCTCCTTGAAGGTGAAGACGCAGACTGGGAGAGACGCGCCGTGGCGAACTCACCGACGTACATTGGCAGATGCCACTGCAAGTGTCCTCGCTCCAGGCATGCAAGCGCGCCCTCTCTTCCAATTTCCGTATGCGAGCGAAGCGTTCCTGGAATCAGATAGGCTACACATTTTTTGATATTGGGGTGGCGGCTGATTTCATCGGTGGCTTGGTATGATATCTCGCTACGCACAAAAATGGCTGGAGTTACTTACTCAGAAATCCCGCGTGCTGATGCGGCATCGTCATTAGATGACCTTCCACGACAGGCAACCGCCAGGTGAGAAGACCAGCCGCTTACCGAGCTTGCCGCGGGGCATCATCAAGCGGAAGAACGCAAACACGGCTAAGACGAGGTGAGGCGCAGGGATGCGCAGGCACATCGTTTCATGGGCAATGGAGATTGCGGAAGCTTTCCTTGATCGGAGGAGAGGCGCCGACCAGCGGGCAGCTGTATAATCGTCCATTCACGCAGCGATGACAAGCTCAAATACGTGTTACGAAACACTCTCTGACAATCGCCCGCTTGCCGTGGATATCCCTCGCGAGCACTCAACGAAGTTTGCTACGCGAGCGGCAGCTTTGAAAGGCGCCATCCCTGCTCGGGGAGGGCGAGGAGGAGGAGGAGGCGGAGGAGGAGGAGTAGGAGGAGGAGGAGGAGGAGGAGGACGAGGGCGAAGAGGAGGAGGGCGAGGAGGGCGAGGAGGAGAACGAGGAGGGCGAGGAGGAGGACGAGGAGGGCGAAAAGGAAAAGGACGAGGAGGGCGAGGAGGAGGAGGAGGGCGAGGAGGAGGAGGAGGACGAGGAGGAGGACGAGGAGGAGGAGGAGGAAGAGGACGAGGACGAGGGCGGGTCGGTCGCCAGAAGGGGGTTCCTCCCCAGGGCACGGCGCCAGGCCGCCGACGGCCTCGAGGAGGGCGAGGCCCGCCGCCAGCGCCGCGGCCGGCGTCGGGGCGCCCCCTCCGCCGCAGGGGCGGGGAGGCGACGGAGACGGCGACGGCAACGGCGACGGCGACGACGATGGCGACGGCGACGGCGACGACGGCGACGGCGACGGCGACGGCGACGGCAACGGCGAAGACGAAGACGACGACGACGGCGACGGCGAGGGCGACGACGACGACGACGATGAAGACGACGACGGCGACGGCGATGAAGACGACGGCGATGGCGACGGCGACGGCGATGACGACGACAACAACGACGACGACGGCGATGGCATTGGCGACGGCGACGGAGAGGGCGACGACGACAACGATGAAGACGACGACGGCGACGGCGATGAAGACGACG